TAAAAATATATATATTATATATATATATTTTTTTATTAAAGAGATGACGTGTGAATTTTGATAAGATCCATGAGTTCCATTCAATTCAGTTCTCATATGTATATCAACGTCGCGACGACGAATCGAACAGCAGAAGAGTGAAGTTAACTGTTCGTGGACCGTGACCGCGACACCGTTCACGGTTAATCGCCGCCTGGCCACTTGTTGCTTAATTCACGCACTTACGAAAGAAGATACGTCGCCCTCGGCGTTCTGACCGAGAATGACGGAGCGCAATTCGTTCTTGCAAATGTGTCGCTTACACGCGAGAGAGGTTCGATAATAACTTCAAAATCACTTACGCAATCAATTCCACCGGGATGTCTGGAGACTACTGAAAGTGACCGAAAAATCGGCATTGCGCAGTCGCGCTTGGCACTCTCCATCTCTTTCTCTCATTGACGAAGAATTGGACTTTGATCTGTTGAGCAAAACTTATTTGTCGTATTATACGACAATTTTTTTGAATGTGTGATTAGCTATACAATATAGTGAAGTTTACAGGTTCCCCAACATTTTTTTTATCTTGAAACCAATCGACATGCTTAAAAAATTTTTGTCGTATGACAGATGTAAAGGTCCAGACACAATAAACACAAATAAGGAATATAAAAAAGTAGGAACAAAAAAGTTACTTTCGTCCAATGAAAGAACATCTTGCTATTCTTTGATCGCGTATTGAAGCGTATTTCTATATGTCAGAATTTAATTTTTTCCATTCCTAATTTTTTATGTATAATTTTTTATTCCTTTCTTTGTGTCTGGACCTTTATACGCGCACATATATACAGATTACGCATTAACACACACATACACGGTAGCCACGTGAAGTTGTGTATTTGTGGTGCAACGGCGGCAGACAGGTGGAGGCACCAGACCGCGCTAGACGCCAGTTGAAAAATGGCGGACTGCGAGAAGGAGGAGGCACACAATCTCGTAAGCTGTTTATTATCTTTATTTATCTAATCGCCGTAGACACGGAGCTCTAGGCGTCAGTTAGAACGCGCCGCGCAAACCGTTTTTCAACTGCTCGTTTCGTCGAATTGCCCGACGAGCAGCGAGCGTTTGAGGTTATGCCGTTTGACAACTCGGTAGCAAGCTCCGTTTTAGACAACACGAACGCAACTTTCTCGTATTCGAATATCGATAACACCCCGCTGAATTCGCTTCCAGCAAATGGAGTTCGAGTGGGTGCTCCACGAGGAGGTGCACTCATCGTTGTCGCAGCTCCGAAACATCTTGATGGTACGTGTGAGAAATATATGTCAGATAAATCTCTGCATACCAACATTTAGTTCCCACTCCTATCGGGAAGCGGACATAATTTATCTTAATCTGGCGTGTCTATTTTAAGGAATGTGCTCAACGCTTCCCACTGGCTCTCTTCGGCAATGACCAACATAATAAAACCGACAGATTTGTCTTTGCCGCCCCACACGATCAAGTAAAATGTGTTGTCGTTCTGACAGGCGACAGTATCACAAATGCGGTAAAGTCTCTAGTGCAGTGTCAAGATTATGCTTAAAATTGATTATAGCAGGAAAAATTACGATATGAAAATAGTAGGAAAAAATGTTTAAATTATTGTATTCTTGAGATATCTTTTTATGCTTGTAGGAAGTGAATTTTAAGGTACAGCGACAACAGAATGTCAATATGAGGACAAGTATTCAAAGTGAACATCCATGGAAATTGCAACAAATTCAAGATGCTGCTAACCACTTGCAACAAGGCATTGCTCATATAGATAATGTAGATAGACATTATCTTTTTAAAACATCAGACGAAGTTATGCATGTGCTAGGCAATATCCTGGGTTGCCTTCAGAGAAGCAGAACTAGCTTAATTGTTCCTAGGAAGAAGACGATTGATGATCTTATTAAGAGTCGAAATATGGTGCATGTCTTTCAATTTTATATTCAACCTTAATGGATACATGAAGTGATTATGTTTAATATTTAAGTTAATATTGTAAAATCTTTTGTTTGCAGAAATCTTTGAATCCAAACCTTCCAGAAAATTTAGCCATTAGCTTTTACATTCAAAGCTATAAATTGGTTTTAGCTATTTATCAATTAGAAAACGCTCACGGCAGTGTCAAGTATGAAACCCAGCAAGCGGAGTGCAGCGTGCCGTGGTTAAATGATGCTCTTGTCTTGCTTACTATCGCTTTACAACTTTGTCAACGATTGAAAGATAAGGTTTGTTACAAGATTATAAAAATTCTGACTTGAAGTTATAAACTTTCTAACGTCATTTGAATTTTTTAGATATGCGTATTTTCTCAATATAAAGATTTTACGGTAGGTTCTCGTGTTCCTTCCGCAATGGGCTGGTAACCCTAACACCCTAACAAAATTCAAATACAAATGAATAGCATACGATGGTATATGCAAGTGAGAAAGAGATTTGGCCTCAACTGACACGTTTTGCTCTGGCCTTCGTTTTTACATATGTTAATTGTTGTCCTTTTATCGTATTTCTCATTACACTAGAATGTTCTAAACGTTTCTAAACATGATTATAGTGTGCGCCTACTATAGTAATATGTGGTGTATCTTAAACCAAGACAAAGATTCACGTGAAGTGGATCACCAACAGATAATAACAAATCGATATATTATTATAGGCCGGAAATGGAAGACTTCGAGAACATTTTGCCAATTATTGGTGTGCCTATCACCATATTATATTGTGTTCTTCCCATTTCTGTAGTAGTTTTTTCAAGATCGTGTAGGTCCAATTTCGGCATATAACATCAAAGAATTTATCATTTTATCTACAAGTTGATAGAATGATATTTAATACATCTACTGTGATTTAGAAATCTACGCTGTAATCCTCTCCTTACTGGATTCGAACATATTTTCATATATTATTAGATATCACATTTATATTTTTTTCATTATATTTTTTGTTATAGGTGATTGTGCACATCTATGCAATACATTATATGCATGGTATAACATAATTTTCAATTTAACGGAATTATTAAATTATTCAAAAAATAATATCATTATTTTATTAATATCATTTATTTTTTCTGTGTCATGGGAACATAAAAATAAGGATAATAAATCAGAATACATCGAAATTAGAAATTTGAGAAAATAATATTTGTTGAACAGTCCAGTATTTGTAAATTATCTTTTTCTCTAAACTTCTTAAAAATATTGGAATACAAAAAAATATTAAATGCATCTCGGTATCTTTTTGCTAATAAAAATATGTGCTTAATGATGATTATTATATACAGTTATGGAAAATGTTATTTTATTTATCAAGTATTATTTAAAGATAATAAGTAGACAAATACCATGTGCCTCATGATTCCGAATTTGGATGAAATACCAACAATTTACATGATGGTACAATTTTTGTAATCGGTATTTTGATTACTAAAATTGCTACGGGAATACAAATAATATATATGCATGTGTGTACACATTTGAGAAAGAGAATATTGCCAAAGAAAATGTTGCTCTAGGTTAACAGTAGGGAAAGGATTAAGGTTTATAATTAAAAGAAGTGCTTAAATATAATAAGTAGTTAGTAATTCCTTTAGTAAATTAATGATGTATAGGAAGTAATAAATCTTCATATGCATTTTTTGATGTTTTAGTGAAATTATTTGAAATCATGTTTTAAAAAATTGAGGATACAATAACTACATCTCAAAAAATTTAATACAAAACCTGCATATCATTTGATTTGAAGGATGTTAAATTTTATTTTTAATCTATAAAAATAGTGGCACACAGCAAGAAACACTAGATGTGTGGAAAACACTCTTGCCCAAGTCATTGTATATTTCCATATGTTTACATATATTAAGCTATAATATTATTTTAATAATTTATATGCTTATTTTAATTTGTATTATAATCTAACTTCAAGACATTAAAAAATTTTAATATCTTAGGTATTAAATTTATGTATACAAAGTATTGTTTATTATTATATATATTGTATGTTATAAATATGTTATATGATTTACAGGTTTTAAATTTGTCTTAGAAGTTTATTAGCGTTCAGAAATAATATCCGAATGCATTCAGAATGTATCATTTTATTTTTGTCTAACATTCGGTGAAAAACAAGGATAAAATGATACATTCAATATTTTTTGTGAACCCAGCCCAAATATATTATATTTATGTAATTTACATGTTTAATTTATTTGCGATAATTAATAAATGTATGAATTGAACTATTATCAGCTTTCAGAAATGTTATTATAACCCCATTTCTTTTTTCAATTCACAATTCCATAACATTCGCTTACAAAAATAAATAAAAAATAACATATCTTAGATTAATAGATGAGATAAATCACTGGAGTTCTGTTTCTTATTACATTTTACTTATTATTACATTTTTCTTATTACATTTTAATATTTATCAGATTTAAAAAATCATTTTTTTAATTGCGCATTTTCTATCTTCTACTTTCGTTTATATGATTGGCATATCGAACAAATCATTTTTTTTTTAATCTTAAAACCAATATGCAACCATTTGCAAAAATATAAACCGTTCACATATTTCGCAAACGATGAAAAAGATAACAGTATTCTTTTTATACACGCGCGTAACATTTTACTTACATACATGTCTTGTCAAAAAATATCTAGAAAATGTTTTAATAGTGTGTTATGTACGAAGCTGTAGCTATCGTACAACAACATCAGGTCGATCTTTGAAAGTTCCTATCACATGGCTCGTTGGTCTAGGGGTATGATTCTCGCTTCGGGTGCGAGAGGTCCCGGGTTCAAATCCCGGACGAGCCCGTAGTTTATATTTTTTTTTCTCTAAAATCAATGGATCTTAATTTTTAAACTTTAGTGATATATTTCTGCGACGTTGGATAATAATTGTGTGAAAACGAAAGTGTTTTAGCTTTGTTTCAACGAAGGCAACACGGCAACAGGCGAGTTGAAACCGGAAATTCGAGAGTGTGCATATGGTACATGACAATAACGGATGATAATATGTCGCTCACATGGAATTCCTCGAAAAAGCACAGCGAACGCGAAAGGTGAATCAATAATAATATATTGAAATCTTTTCAAATGATTATATATACAAATTAAATGTTAAAAATAATACAGTCTTTCCTTAGTTCGTAAAAGTGCGTCGCAATCTAACCTATAATGTCAACTTGTATGTCAGAATTTCTTATTCTTATCGATCTTTCTTGTTTTAAAATAAATTCTTTACTCAATTTTCATTATTTTCTCCTTGAACATCTTTCTTTTCTAACATATGGCATAGATTAATTTTATCAATTTCAGAATTTTTATTTTTTATCTTTATTGTGCCAGTTATTTTATTAAATTTTACCTTTAATATTCCTTCTTAATACCTTTATTTTTTCATATATTTCACTTATAACATATTTCAAATTTATAACATATTTTTACAAACTCTTTAAAATTATCTTTCTTTATATCGCGCAGGTTAAAAAAAGCTATAATTTAGAGCTTTTAGTTTGAAGCCATTGTCTAATATGTTTCTTTTTACAGATGGGTATGTATTTATCCAATATATTTGAACAGCAAGAGAAGCCTGGCAGGTGGCCGCAAATTGGCCAAGGACAAATGTGTAGAGAATCCAACGCATCAGGAAATACGTGACGTTTTGTTGGCAGCAGGCATGAATGTGGGTGTTGAAAATAAGCTACATCCGAAGGAACGTAGCAAAGAGCCATTGTTCCGTGGTCGTATTCGAGTGCAATTGAAAAACGACGACGGCACACCAGTGAAATCTGAGTTTCCTACGAGAGATTCCCTTTTAGAATATGTTGGTACTTCAATTTCCAAGCTAAAGACTCGTCAGGGCAAACAGAGTTCCAGCGAGCAATCGTCATGGCAGCCATCTACGTCGACGCCGAAGAAAGGAAAGAGTA